ATTAAACGGTTTCAGTGTGCAGTATACAAGCTTCTTTGTCGTGTGTCAACAACCTTAATCTAACAATTATACGCATCTGTGCCATGTATTTGACCACATCAACGTGATCAATAATAGTAGAGGATCAGATATAGAAAATCACATAGGACTGATTGGAAAGTTCAGGTATGCGAAAAATAAATGATTAAAAAATAGCAACTTCATGTTCAGTGAATAAGTTAAGAATGCATATTTTTTCCTTCAGCTGTTTGTCACGAGCGCCATGTGGTTTGTGGCAATCGCATATATGAAGAAAACCTGCGGCATGGAACGACAATGTCACACCAGATGCGATGAGCGAGACATATGTATGTGAATGATAAACCAAGCTCTTCTCGTAGGTACTTTTTGAGTGCTGATTTTCTAGCTGATATTGCGAAACGTTAGCCGAGTAAGGCTCTGCAAACAATGGCTATAAAAGGCCATCAGAAACCGTGACATGACGTTTTAGAATGCAAGCATGGCGATATTTTGAACGTCTACTGGCAATCGTTTTTAGTCGTTCTCGTCATAGATTCGTCAAACTACATTAAAAAATTTCTTTGAAGCGGACTACTGGCTGTCAATGAACTTGCATGTTTGATGCGTGAGTATTTGACGGTACAAAGCAGTCGACCATGGCTATGGCTAACTTGAGCAAACTGGAATGACTTTTCACTACAGAAAAATCACACATAGCTATTAAACGTTTCTGATCAACGCCATGAAGGAAATCATGTATGCCGACTACAAGACTTGGATAACAAGCAACACACGGCAATCGTTTAGCAGAGCACTCGACGGATATGCACCACTTTATTTTAGGATAAAGATTTCATTTGTGTAGAGGTGGCGCTGAGATAATGCAAATCTAAACAGCCCGATGCGACAGAGTGAATTCAAACGAAGCAACCAGACTCACCAACGTAAAATGATCGCTTGTAAGGAACCATCAAATGTTCTCGTTGCTTCCCAAACAAAGGAAGTCAGCATAGTCTAAGGAAAAGACCGTACGACTCAACGCAAGAGACTGAAAGTGCTGACCGCCACACAGGGAAACGATAAACGTGGCTCTTGCGAAAATATCCAAAGGCACTTATCAGAAGTGCCAAATACTGCAAGTACGTTTTACCACTGATCGATCCTCGCGGATTCGTCTTCCAGAATTGAAAGAGAAATAGAACAGCATACAAATCAGTTTGCGTTGCAGAAGATAATGAGATCAAGACGAGAATAATGATCGATATAATTGTTGGGTTGATTATTGAAGCCATCTATGCCGTTAGCAATTTAAATACTTAGTTATATTTATGCACCCAAAGTTTGACTCCGTCGCTCTTCCTATTGTAGCTCAGATCCGACCAGACAAGTCACAATATGTAATACAGTAATTTAAATCAGGTCACTGAATCTGAGCAGTATGGCGATTAGGCGATCAAATTTAAGTTGATCATTTCAATGTTTATTTATAGATGCAGTCTTTTTGCGATACTCCTGTCAAAAAGAAGAGTCCTTCACAACTACACATAGTGTAGGAGGAAAAGAAGAATCGAGGTTAGTCTTCATAAACATACATGTTGAATAAACATTTAATAATGCAAAATACATATTAATCATTCCCAAAAATTATAGGCACATACAGCAGGAAACATTTAACACGGGAACTTGAAGCAGACGTCTAGGTAGGTGATTGCCACAGGGAATTAAGCAATACACCAGACTTCTGCAATTTGTGGTATTAGTTCAGGAGCAGAAACTAACATGTG